ACACACACACACATACACACACACACGCCTTCTAACATATTTATTAAATTAATATATAAATTTGAGTGGATTGGAACATGTATTAAATTTAATACAAATTTTCGATTGATGTACATTTTTTTTATAGCAAATGTTTTTTTTTATTTTTTTTTTCATAATTTTTGAACCTTGTTCCTATTTTCCTTCGACAAATCACAGCCCTTTTTGTCCATACGACTCATTTTACGAGTTACCATCAAATAAGTAAAGCATTGATGTTTAGATTAGGATGACACCTCTTGTTTTATGACTTATAAAGAAATTATCGTAAGTAGATAACTTGGGCCTAAATATTATTATTGATTGACAAGCACACTGAGTGAATTTGATTTCTTTTTAATTAATTAATACTGAAAATTTACCGATTCCAAAAAAAAAATAAATCATACAGTATACGTTTTAAGCGGAAATGTGATTAGCTTTAAGTGTACGATATAAAAATTAATAAAATGAAAATATACTCGTGATTCTGAATTTCTTTTGGAGTGAGGAAACATTTCGGCGTGGCTTTTGGGAAATGTCATTAACGAGAAATCACGAGGCCTTTCGTTTCTCCGAAGCAAAGACTTAAGCCTAGTAGGGGTACGCGACGAAGAAGGGTAATCGAGAATCGGAAGAGAGAGAAAAAAAGGGAGAGACAGAGGTAGACTATGAAAAGAAAAGGGCAAAAAGAATTTAGAAACAGGGCGAGCCCGCTCGAGAGTCGGTACCCCAATAAATATGAAGACAACGACAACGACGATGCCTGTTGTGCCCGGAACAGGTTGGAGCTAATTCAGTTCCCCTTCCTTTTCGCCTCTGTCCCCCCTTTTTTACCTTCTCGCGGTGTTCCACTCTCTCTTCCACGCTCTCTTCCTCCTTCTTTTCACCTCTCCTTCTCTCCTTTTAAATCGCTTGATTCAACGTTTTTTTATTTTGCCCTTTCTTCTACATCAAATCCTCTCTCTTCATTCTCCCTTTAGTAACTCCTCTTTCTTCTCGTGCATCCCATACATGCCGTGAGAGGTTTTTGTTTGCTACTAAATCTCTCCCATCTAGACTTCTCAATCCTTTAAAAAAAAATTTAAGAATTCGAGAATTTAGAAATTTAAAAACCCAGAAATTCGACAATTTAATGAATAAGATTTTGAATTTAAAAAAATGTAAATCCAAAAAATTCATTATTAAAATTGAATTAGATTTTTATTTAGATTTCTTTTTTCAGTGCTGGAATATTTGTGAAACCTTCAGTTACTGGGACAAAGAAGAAATCAGTTGTACGCGAATATACAAGCACACATCTCGTGTAAGTAAACAAAAAATTCTCATCCATTTTAATTAATCTAAGGTATTTCAATTCTTATATTTCAATTTTTTAATTTAATTTTAATTTATGCAAAATATATACGATTAAAAATTT